TAAAGCAGGTTTTGGTGGGCGAGGGATAAACATATATAGCCTATATGACCCCATACATCCCTAAGATTGGAATCCAAGTTCATGCCTGAACTCATCTGAACCTGGCAGCTTCAACTGGAAGACTGTAAAAAAACACGTTTAGGGTTAGGGTGCCCTCAGCAAAAACACATGCAAGGAACTTTGGTCGGCTTTCAATGTTTCCAGCTGAGCAGACGAAAGCCAACTCAACTGGTGGGGGTCCTCAAAATGCTTTGTAGCAGCCTCCGTCACTACCATTCTATCTTCTAATTTGGTACACTATACTAGAGTTATTATAGGACCATTGTATGGGCAATTACTCCCTTGCCCTAACTCCCTGTACTGGTGATTCTCTTTTCCCGTTTGATTCTCCAATACTACAATACCCTAATCAAATCCTCTACCGCAAACGCTTAACCTTTAACCCCCCCACATCCCTTCGTTACCCTTTAGGCCCTTTGTGGGCTCCTACATTCGGTCCCTCTTCTATCTCAGGCTCCTCGTCAGTGGTCGGTGGAATGGTCTAGTGAGGAGTCTTGTCCGGAACCCTGGCTGAAGCTATGGCCTCTTCACTCGAAATGCTTTGAAGCTCTGCTGCACTCCGAGCACGTAATTAACAGGGGCAAGGATTATAGATTATGGATGATGACACTTGAGCTGATGATGATAATGATGATAATGATGATGATGATGATGATGATGATGGAGGCGGTGCTGGTGGTCAGGGAATGCTTGGAGAGCATGAGCGCCATGTTTAGGGGGACGACTGCCGCGCTAGCACTCAACATGATGTCCACCAGCGTCGTTTACTTGACTTATACTCATTGCTGTGATGAAGACATGCACAACTGCTGCAAAAAGGATCGTATACATCACGCTCAATCCTTTATCGAAATGTCGGCCTAGGCGACCATGCGGGAAAACCTCCACGGATGGTCGCTGGGTTACACATATGCACCTAATGTTGGTGAGCGGCTTGGAAAGCATTTATACACCGAACAAGCGGGACAGAGAACCAACAGTTGGACATATCCGAAGGTCCGCCACAAGACGTCTGCATTCGCTTTCGATGGTGTCTCGGTGACAAAAGTGTCAGCTAACCCCATTGCCTCTGGCTGTTCGGTGTCTGTATTCGGGGGTCGTGGCCATTGGAGTTGTGGGATGGATCAGCGACGGGATGCCAGCAAACTGACGCGGCAACCTCAATTGAGAGTTCGAGTCGTTTTTTTTTGTGGGGGAGGGGGGTGGGGAGGCGGGCTACACATTAGGGCGGGGGCAGGCGTTGGGAGCCGAAGCCTTGTGCGCAAGGAGCCTGCCTGTCTGATGTTGGGTGCTGATTAGTGTAGGGGCTCTCCTCCAAACAAATCTGGATCCTTGCCGTAAATTTGTTGTCAATAGGAGGGAACAGGATCGGCTCAGGTGAAAGCCTAAAGGGTTTCAGAGGGCATTTAGAAGGGTTTCTATTTAATTATTCTCGGACTTCTCTTTTTTTGGCCGCGCCACTTGACACAATTAAGGGCCCCCAGACGAGCCAGGGACTGCTGAATGATTTCGGCGAAGCTTCAGACAATTAAGGCCCCGAACCCTAATCGGATGTCCATTACTGCCGAGGTTTATCGTTCTGGGTTGCTGGACTGGTAGGCCGGGACAACAACCATCGGAAACGATGCGTTGGGTTGCTACGTGCACATACCCCACTGAAACTCCTTCCTCCTACCTCGCTTTGTTCTTGGTACACGCTGGTGACAGCGTGCCAGGGCAGGCAGCGGCCAGGAATGGCACGGGTTTCGAGTTTTCCGCGGTGAGCGGAGCAGAATCATGGGATATTTCGTTAGTGTGGTGGCGTGACGACAATAAGATAGGGTGTGTGCGTTTCGGAGGTTGCGCCGGGGCCTGTCCTAATTACGGCCGGGCTGGGTGAGGTCACGGAGGGTTCTTGTGCGCTCCGCCTAAGGTGGCATAAATAAATACGCTGCTACAAGCCGGTTTCCAAACTTCAGTGCAAATGCCCGGTCCACCCTGCTTCCTCGCCTCCTCGGATATGGTAGCTCTCCATGGTGGTTTGTTTTTACTAGGGTTGAAATTACTTCGAGAGGAACGGAGGGTGGGCTGCTTGGTCCCTTTATGAGGGTAAGAGTCAGATTGTTTGTTGTTGGGAGAAAGATTTCTGCAGCTAAGTCAACACCTGACTGACTGACTGCCTGGCTGGCTGGCTGGCTGACTGACTGACTGACTGAATATCGGCTTACATGGTTGGAGTATGACTTTAGGCGGGTTAGTTTTTTCTGCATGAATCGAGGCATCGTGCAGCTGATCTCCTAAGGTGCTAGGCTTCACCCCAGAACAACTCCAGCGCCTTGTCGAGAAAGCTGTAGCCGAGCTCCTTTTGCGCCTGCGGCCAACAATGACACTGGTTGTAGCAACAACATTTGTCTCACTTATACGACAGAAAAGGAGGCGATGTAGCTAGCGGTCCCAGTCACAGCTACCCTCAGTAGTAATCCATGGAGGACTAATGTGAAGGCCGTTTGCGCAGAGATTTCCATTTCGGGCTGAGTTTATACAGGCACAAGTTGAGATCAGTGGAACATGGCTCAAATCCAAACATCTGAACTTCAAAGCGTGAACACTAGACCGCAAACCCTGAACCCAAAATCTTGCCCACTGCATTCTAAACCCTATGCCCTATGAGCATACATCCAAGCCCGTAAACCCAATGCCAGTAAGAACATGCAACCCCCTTTAGCACTCTAACGCCACGCATACTACAATCCAGGTTATGACAGGGATGAGTGGAGTGCATCAAGCCTCCTACTGCTGCGGCTGGTGCTGCTGCTGGCCTTCTCCCTCACCCCTGCACCTTCCAGCCCGAACCCCTAAACAGTGCAAATAGAACGTCTGCACTATATGCTGTATGATGCTGTATGTCTGTTTTGGGCGAGCTTGTTAACCCAACATCCAAACCAATGCAAAACAAATCCCCAATCTCAAGCCCCAACCGCCCAGCCGCAAAACCCCAAAGCAAAGGAGACCCTTCAGTAACCCTAGTACCTACACATTGCGTTATATACGGTGTACATGTTGATAAGCATGTAGAAGGTTCCATAAGACAGCAGATCCAAAATCTACCCCGAAATGCTATGATAAGGACCCCCCAAGTTCTGGGAACACCGGGTTGGCGCCCAATTTTTGGGTCCCAGCCTAAATCCTAAACCTGAACAGTGTACCTTGAACCCTTTGGTTGTAGCCTCCTCGACCTGTTGTTGCTGCAAATCGCCGCCCTGCTGGTTGTAGGCGTTCACGGCTTGCACAGTCTGCATGGCCAAGGTGCGGCGGTGTTCGAGGCTTATAGGGGCTGGAACAAGGTTTAGGGTCCATGTTCAACACAGTGTCTAGGATTCAGGGTTCAAAATTCTAGGACTTTTGGTGTGGCATTGAGGGTGAAGGATGTAGAGTTTGTAGCAGGGAGGGCAGGACAGCAGAGAGAAGATGAGAGTAGTATTGCGATGTGCTGGGTATGATAGTTGTGTGCTGAATCCAGCACAGGTGCACCATCATACAACAGAAGATTCCTGAAGCTCATGCCACTGGCGTTTCAAGCTCCAGCAAGAAAAGGGATTTGCCTGTCATGGCTTCACCACTCTGGCGAAGCATGGAGATGGAAGCCAAAACGAATCATCAGTACAGCTAGGTGGCTAGTGTTATTACAATCGTGACTAAAAGTTTAAAGGCTACTCTGTCTCGAATTATAGGCGGCCCTAGTAATAAGCACTAAAGGGGCCCTAAACAAATCTAGTGGTATATAGGGGTTATTCGGGGAATATGGGTGTCCCCTGTCAGGATCAAAGGGGGATTGGACTGCTTGGCCCAACCCGGCATCCCGCTCATGTACCCAAACAGTCGAATTCCAAAACTACTCAAAAAGGCCATTGCTAGCCGAGACTAAGATTCCCAATCTATCGGTTTAGGGAGTAGGGTTTAGGGAATAGGGTTTAGGGATTAGGGTTTAGAGTTTAGGGATTAGGGTTTGGGGTTTAGGGATCTGTGGATGGAGGAAACCTTGCACCAGACTAAATATCCTAGACCTAAGGAATTGCAGCACGTCGGGGATCCCAATTTGTGCATGTCAAGTTCTCCCCGGGCAGCACCCCAAATTCGTGTTGTTTTGTAGTTGTTCCCCGAAAATTGGTGTTGAATATCCTAAAACCGATATGACTCCGGTATAACGCCACAGAATCCCGATACTCCTATGTAATCTCTTTATCCCTCATATATCCTGTGCATAACCCTTTTGAAGCCATCTGCGTATAACCAAACAAAAAGCAACCCTCCCCGCCCGCCCCTCCCCCCCGCGCCCTTGAACTCCCAACCCTATAGGATGGAGTTGCATGCCCTAACACCTCCTAAATCCTACACCCTAAATCCTAAACCCTAAACCTTAAACCCTGAATCCGAAACTCTAAATCCTAACATTTAATCCTAAGCCCCGAACCCTAATTTCTAAACCCCAAATCCTAAACTCTGAATCCTAAACCCAAAATCCTAAACCCAAAATCCTAAGCCCAAAATCCTAAGCTCAAAATCCTAAATCTAGGCTGAGGATGGTCTACAAAATACGTGAAGTGAGTTGTTGGGTTTAGGGTTTGGGCTTTCCCTAAGGGTCCTAGTACCTAATAATTATATACTTACCCAAAATCTATACTACACTTACCATATTACCAAATCCCAAGTACCTAATTATTGGGTACTTGGACCCTTAGGTTTTAGGGTGTAAGCAAATATTAGCATTGGGATAATGGAAAATAAATGGAAACCACTATTTAGGGTTTAGGGTCTAGGGCTGTTGGGTGTAGGGTTTACGGTTTAGGGCGCAGTGTTTAGGGTTTAAGGTTTAGGGTTTAGAGCCTCTGCAAAGCTCTTCGACTAGTGCTGAAACAATGTAGGCCTTTCTGATAGGTTTTGATAGGCTCGAATATGGGTTATATGTGGTGTACGTCGGGTCTTTTTATTGGTTTTACATTGGATTGTATAGGGTTCTCATTCATCCTGAAGATTGAAGTATTACCTACATCTTTTTGACGTCTATTCAAGTTAACGTGTACTACACTTATACAAGGAATTTGGGACCTTAGTATTGGTAAGATGAGACCTCATATTGCTCCCGGAAGATGGTTCTGCCTGAAAAGCCATGGCAAAAAAAGATCAACAGCAGCACAGCAAACCCAGAAAGCCTAATATCCCCTAATTAACGGATTCACGCTATATGATGGCAGATCCCATTGATCAGGATAATCTATAGCAAGAAATTCCCAAATTTAAGGCCATTTGGGTACTATTCCGCCATACATAAAGCATCATTTAGGGTGAGGTCGGGTGAGGTCGCTTTAAATTGCCCAGTAATGATTTAGGGTATACTCCTTAGTTAAGAGATACGAGGCTTTCTGGGAATTGACACTTCGCAGATCTCCCGTTTCAACTTCAAGGCGGCCTGGGCATCCGTCTGCGCATCGGCGGCATCCTGCTTGTGCATCGCCTGTTTGGGAAGGAGAATATATACTTGGCTGGCTTGCTGTCAAGGAACTTAACTCAAGTTACTATATATACACAGGAGCTCCTATGTAGTTCCTTTTGGGGTTTGTTGTGTTTTTTTGGTAAGGGGATATAATATACTACCCAAAAGGAACTACATAGAAGTGTCTTGGGTAAATACTAGCGTTTGAATGCTGTAGTTACTTAATCTAAGTTCCTTAGCACCAGCTCAGTTCAGGCTGCCCACAACACTTTGAATGAAGCAGTGCAAGCGATGCCCAGACGTCCGGAAAGTATATTCGTTTGCACTTTGATGTCCCATATTGGAAGGTTGAAGGAACCCAAGAGACAAACAGAAGCATGTCCAATTTCAGACCATACAGTAGCAGTGCCCTTTACATACCTAATTTACTATAAGCCTTGTTATGGGTTGGGAATCGCCAAAGATGGTTCCCGTCATACAAACCTGCCAGGCTGTCTGTGGGAGCCCGTCTCTTGACGTGCTCTCAGCTTGCAAAGAAACGGGCGTTTCCGCAAAGCATGCCTTGTTTCGGGAATCATTGTAGGAGTGGTCCAAGTATGCAGTGGGCAGGACAAATGCTTAAACTCTGCAAAGTACTATGACCTTGATCCCCTCAAATTCAAATCCTCTAATATACCTCAGACTCTTGAAGCCCTGCAACACTTGCCACCTGAAACTCTCTTCCAGCCTGCTCGAACGCCCAGTGGTCCACCTGCAGCTTTTTTTCTGAAGCCCAGTGTTTCTAAGCACCTAGATTGCCGGTACTTGCGGTCGAAAGGAATTTCCGTTTCGATAGTTCTAGGCCCAGGTAAGTACTTGATGAGTACGGAAGATCCATTCACGCATCTCGCGCTCTCAAACCAAAGACTTTGTAATATGTCTGTGAAGGACCACGGGATCAGAGTCAAATCGGGGCTGTGAATGTCCCGACAGCTAGCATTGCCAACAGGTGTGACTTGCAGAGCACTGAGGGTTCTGCGCTAGAAAAATAAATTGATGAAAGAGGCAGCGGGTCTTGTGACAACAGCAGTGTCCGACAAGAATTGCAGATTGGTATGAAGATTTTGCCGGTGCTCTCAGTGTAGCGCTGTTCTGCCTAAATCCTATAGCTCACGTTGAAGAGGGCTCACACTACACGCAACTTGCGATGGACACGCTGGGCTCCCGGTAGGAAGTATGTAATTGATGAGAGCCCCAGCTACCAAAACCAAGAAGAAACTGCTAGAATCAGGGTCTCAGCTGATCTCAGCCTTTCAACCTCCGTTTCCGTCAGCGCCACTGAAGGGCTCGTGCTAAACCTTGAAATCCAGATCCCGGATGTTGCTGAAGCCCCAGGCCCAAGACAAAGTCAGTAGATAGTTCACAACACGGAAACCTCCCAATAGGGTTGCCCTTGGGACCCTTATATATTGTTCATGTTCATGTATATATGTTTTTTTTGGTTGCCAATAAGGGATTGAATTGGGGTTCTGAAGGCTATATATGGGGGTAGGGTTAGCTGTAGGGTTTATTGTAGGGTAGTTATAATCTGGATATCGGTCTTACTCGTACTCCACTTATAACTTAATACTTAGGGGTCGAATAACTGCGTTATAAGTGCAGTTGTAATTGGGTGATAACTATAGTCCGCCTTAGTTAAGAAGATATACTATGGCTTTGGGTATATTACAACAAGATCCCCATATACCACATATTCTAGCTACTTAAGGGGGATTGTAGCCTGAAACTCTCAGTACGTCTTCTCGACTATGCGGACTAGTGGGCCTGCGTAACGCTTTACAGCACGCGAGCATGCACAGCGCCCGTAGATTAAGATATTGGGGTTATCTTGGTAGAATGGAAACTAAAATGGAGACTACCTGGACCCCCAAAGTATGTAGAATAATGGCCTTTTGGGCTATATTTAGTGGTTTTGGGCCATTATTTTACCTACTTTGGGGGTTTAGGTAGTAGTTAGGATTTAGGGTCAAGGGCGGTGACCAAATTCTGCACGAAGCCGAACAACCCTTCCTACCAGGCTCCACGCCCATAATTGTTTTTCCTCCTAGAAGATCCATGTAGCTATTACTGTATACTTTTTGAGGCACGGACTGTATACTTAGCTTCTTAAGGGGTTCCCATATAACTATTTTTAATTTTCAAGTATGTACTCTATAGCTACATTAACCCCAGGGGGCTGACATAGCAGCCTGCTTTTTAGGTGCGATGCTCACATTTCGTACACTCTGAATCTCAACCTTGCGTAGGGAGCTCATTCTTGTCTTACTGCGGTTTGGTAAGGAATAAGGGAATATACTATGTAGGGATCATATAAGGATTATACTTCCTTATTCCCTACTGACAACCAGTAAGTTTATGGGAGAACATGAAACTCACTGCTGGGCCTTCCCCTGCATGTGGCCCGTCTTCTGCACCCTGGAGGCAAGTTTTTTGGAGGCCCTGCTATGCATGCATGCATGCATGCATGCATGCATGGATGGATGGATGGATGGATGGATGTATGTATGTATGTATGTATGTATGTATGTATGTGTGTGTGTGTGCATCATGCATGTATTGAAGGGTCTTGGGATTGAAGCTTGAAGGTTTAGGGAATCCACTACCTAATTCCTATCAACCGTCTGGAATGATATCCCTCCCTTTCCCACGGTAGGGGGAGAGGCTGTTCCACCCTGCTTCTACATCTGAAAAGGATTAGGAGTTAGGGATCTGCTGGCCTTTTTCATAGCTTCGACACCTGGAACTAAACCAATTTGGGACCTCTCTCCATGTATTAGGGTGAGGTCGCGTGAAATCCTTACAGTTTGCGCAGATTCGTTGTTGCTTCAGTCCGCTTGGAGGGCTGAGGGTCTACAATCCATTTGCTAACAGCGTTCGCGTAGCAAGTCAGTGACATTATGGTGCTGTAGCTGCCTTACGGCCATTCTAGAGTCTCCCTAAAGCCTAAAGGCTCACGTTTCCCATGCTGTCAGCCTACGTCTCCCCCTTTCGCCATACAGCCACAAACCAGGTTGTTAGTCCAACAGCTGCCGGCCACAATTCTGCGGTTGGGTGATCCGCGGCTTGTGAAGTTTCTACCTAGACCCTCCTGCTACCCTCTACTAGGGCCGAAGTACCCATTATTAGGAGGCAGTAGGGGTTCATAAATTCCCAATTAAATATCCTTGGAGTGTCTTGTTTGCGGTTGGGAAGATACTTCTCCTTCAATGCGTCTCAGCTTGGGTTTCACGAGGACCTCAGCTGCTGGTTCCGGATTTCCGTAAGGGTGTTGGGAATGTGTGTTGGCAGATCAAAAACCCTAAACCCAAAACCCTAAACAAGGCCCTAAACCCAAAGATCAGCCTTTTCAATCTTGTAATGTGCTCAAACAGTAGGCGAGTTGCAGTTGATGAGATGACAACATGCCTGATCTGCACATCAAAATCGGGAGCTTGAAAGAAACCTTTGAACCTTAAACTCCAAGGTGCGTGCAACAATGATTCCTATCTGGGTGCGGCCCAAGGACATGGGGGTTTATAACAGGCCTCAGGCCGCCCTCCCGCGACTGAGGGCTGACGTCTGGGACAACCCCGCATCTACAGCCGAGGCCAGGGGCCACAACTGTCCGCAACAAACGCCTGCAACGGGGGATGAGGGGTTGCCGCGATGAGGGGGGTTTCGGCCCGGGCCCACCTCCACATGACTCCCGGAAGCGTCTTGCAGCAAAGGGACACAAGATCTTCCTCGTTGAGCTCTGCTTGTTTCATGGCCGCCTGCAGAATGTCTCACGTTTTATGGGAAACCCCGATTTTGCGTTCAGGGCGCCCAATTAGGCCACTATATTCCACCCTAATACTGTGGATGGAGGAAATCTTGCATCACCCGATGTACCTTATACCATAGAATGTGCCGTATCACGGGGTACAAGATTTCCTCCAAATACCGCATGGACCATGCACCCTAAACCCTAGGCCCTAAACCCAAGAACCATTAACCCTACACCTTACGCCCAGGCCTTTGCTTGTGCCTTTTCCTCATCTGCAATTGTGCGGAGCTCCTTGGTAGCGCTTCCGGGCGTGTACCCTAGGGATTCAACTAGCTCGATGTAAGCACCCTTCATGGACTTTAGGGCCCAAGGGTTTAGGGTTTAGGGTTTAGGGATAGACTGATAAATGAGATGTAAAGGGCTTAGGGTGTCAAGAAGCTAGGGCTGTTGAAATGGAAGATCCCCTCATGGCGAAGATCTGTTCGGGGACCTTTGGATCTAAGACTTCAGGATTTGTTTAGATTCTTGAAGTGGGCGAAGCTGGAAAGATCCGTAGTGTAATCTATCTGAATTCAGTGCCAGGCGCAAACAAGAGCAGGGTAAATAAGGGTTTTCCCAAAATTAGTGATGGACTCCAACATGCTTGCCGACATCAGGGTTGTACCCGGTGTTGTCGCATCCACATCAAAATCATAATGAGTCACTTGTGACAACTGCAAATACTGCTGGAGCTGAGGCGTAACGCCAACATGTGAATGTTGAATGCGCCAGCCATTTTCTGGTAAGCAATACCCTGCTCAGTCGAATGAGTTATGATCTAAACTCCTAGACTCCCCTGTATAAACCCTCATATAACCCCCTTTAAGGGGCCTAGTTTGCCAAATTCCCTCCTTACATCTACACAAAGCAAAACTTGCAGCTGCGGGACAACCCTCATTGGATGCCCCAACCCCTGAAACCGAAACGCTTTATGGGACCATCTCTGCTGGGCCAAGATAGAGGACTAGTTAGGGTTTATGGGGCTAAGGTCTTAGGGTTCTAGTCCGCCTTACGTAGATAGAATTTGGGGGGCGTATATGGTCAAAAGCAACATGACAGCAACACATCAACTAAGAGTAAACCTAAGCAAGATGGAACCTGAAACTCGACAGTCCTCTTGAATAGAACCCTTATTGGAGTGTATGCAAGAGTATGTCCTCCACGTCTTCCTGGACCTCCTCTTTGTCGCGCTCATCGTCCATCTTCTTACACTCCGCCAGGATCTTCCTCTCACATTCATGCTTGATGAGGTGGAAATAGTCCGTAGCTCAACAACAGAAACACTTCAGGGATCTCGCGCCAAAAGCCGACCGGCCACTTTTGCGTTGCATCAATTGAATCGTCAACGTTCTCCTGGAAGCCCTACATGCAGCCATCTCATCTTTATCGTTTGGGTCGGTATTGGACAGCGGGTGCTGGACGGTGACATGGTAACTGAAAAAATCAAGAATCGAGTTGTTGGGGCTGCGAGCACAAGCTCGGCTGACTAAGCTAGGTTGTTGTGCTAAAGGGCTTCTCGGCTATGCGGCCTTGTACTGGCAGAGTCTGCGCGCGACAATCTACAAGCAAATGAAGGAAATCATAGAACACGCTCACGGAGTTTGTGCACTAAATTCTGACAAGACAGATGAGAAAACAAGCGAGATGCTGATTCTGCATGCCAAACGAAACGTCCCCAGCGTTCCCCGCCTAAAAACATGCAAGCTGCGCCAGAGCCCCAACTGTAAACGACAGCCGGCTGCAGATCAAGAATCAAAGCTTTCTGCCTGAGCGGCCGAGGCAAACAAGCACCAGCATCATCCCGAACAATCTGTGCGCATGTCTGTACTTCTTGAGCCTTCATCCTGGGAGGGGCGCAGGCCTATGAGCGGTAAGCCCTTCCAGGCATAAACATATACGCGGAAGCTCAAAAGGGCACTATAAGCACCCAATTCCAACAACAAAACAACCAGAAGCCCGTGCCAAAGCGCCCTAAGCAAAAGACGAGCTCGATGATGCTCCCTCAAACCCTGTCTCCTTAGTTTCGGCAGCTGCTGTGCCAGCTCTTGGCGTTTTCCTAGGGAACACAGCATTTGCACAGCTGGTGCAGGTTTTCCGGGGGGATCTAAGCAAGGTTGCGTTGCTGGAGGCAGCTTTGACAAGCAACGGCTTCGATGCATGAAGTGCCCAAATCCATGGATCCGGAACGTCAACCCACAGCTCTCCAAGGGTGGTGAGCCGGTATCCCCTTGCCTGGCAATCAATTTCCACCAGTTGCCACAAAAAAACAACTCAAGGGTTTCCCTACCACCCCCACCCCCCCATAACCCACTAGGTTCCCCCTTGAATAGCCTGCAGTAGTTCCCAAATGACTTTTATCAAGGGGGAACCTTGGGGAGCGGACAGTACGCGGGCATGGTAAGGAAACTCATAGCAGTCTACAATGCAAAAGAAAACCCTTGAGCCCGATCATCCGCACCGTAACTTCCTGTAAAAACAGTTACACAGGGCCTTTAAGAATGGATACTTAGGCCATAATACGGGATAATTGGGGGGTACAGTGGAGGGTACAAGTGCTATAGCTTCAGAGTACTTACTCCAAATTGAGAATCACAACTCTTCAACTGTAGCATTGCAGGTATTTAGTCATGTTCCGTAAGCCCTGATCCCTAAACCCCTAATCCCTGTGCCATACCAAATGATGCAATTGGCCATGTAACTTTCCAGTGCCTGTTTCCCCGTTGATTGGCTCCACAAGCTGTATGTAATTGGGGGCAAAGGTACACTTCGAATAAAGCCCTAAACACCTTGCATCCTAAACTTCAAGCCCGAAAGCTCTGAGGATTAAACGCTTGACCTTAAACACGAAACGATACACAGTTTCACCCCTCACAGGTCCACTTTGCCCAAATGTCGAATCCAGCGTTCGAAGTCGCGGCCTGCTGTGTCCACGGCCGCAGCAGCCCGGCGGAGCCTTTTGCTTTGTGTTTTTTTATTGTATAGGGGATAATGGAAAAGAAAATGGAAACTACTATAATGGCGTTATAATCCCCTGTTAAGTAGATAGATGGTTGGTGTTTTTAGGCTGTAGGGCTCCGGGACCATAACAGGAGCTTAAATGGAAAAAGTAATGGACAGCTCGATGGAAAGTTTAGGTCCCTCTAAAGAAGGCTACAGGGATATGTCCACATATGTATATGTATATATATATAGAGTTTCTGGATCAGGACCAATGTGGAGAGTCAGATGGAAAAGAACTTGGGCTATGTAGGAGCTAGAAGGGCTATAAAGCAGCGTCTGTTAGGTTAGAATCTTACGGAAACTCTATTCTTCAACATGCATTTATCCACCTTATGGTAACTTTACGCAAGATCCTTCACAACCCAGTGTGGGTTCCCTACGCAGCGCAGGTTTGACGATGGAAAGCTTTTGATGGGTTCAGGTGTTGATGGAGAACTTTGACTCCTGGAGGCCAACATTTGGGGGTTTCCCAAAATTAGGGGTACCTTTTTAGGGGTCCCAATAATAAGGACTATAGTATTTTGGGGTCTATGTTGGGGTTCCCCTAATTTTGGGAAACTACCATTTAACTTGGAGGGTCATGGGGACTTAGTAAGTAGGTTCATAATAATGGGGATAAGTGGGGTTATCATATTGGTTATAGGGGTTATTGAAACGGTTATTGACCTACTTACTAAGTCCCCATGACCCTCCAAGAAGGACACCTCCAGGTGGCGGTTTTAGGGTTTCCCTAAACCCTAAACCCTAAACCTTAACCCCTAAACCCCTAAGGTACTTATCATGTTGGTAGAGCTTCCAGGCGGCCTATATTGACCTCATAATAGCCCTATGACCCTTGTGCGAGCTTTACATGAGCCTTTTACGGCAGTTGATCAAGATTCCTGGTCCCCAAATTGTGACTTTGGAACAAAAAAACCTGATATTTCCCTTTTACTTCAATCCCCCCCCATATAGGGGGTACCCACCTGGTAGCTACCCACTGGAAATTGTCCTTGCAACAAGCCTTGTGCAACTCAGGTTTTACGGCCACCAACAAAAATGTCCTCGACAAAGCCGCGCACTTTAGGGCTTGGGGTGCCCATCCTACAAAGCCCACATGCAATATACTATAATGTACCATAATAAACTAAAATATACTATACTATACTAGAATATACTCAGTATACTATAATATACTATAATATACTACTGTTAATGCTAAAAATCCTGCATGACCCTAGTATGCTATGACACTGTAATTCCCAAGGCACTAGGTACTTAGGTCATGCAGGATTTTGCGTGTCCTACAGAGTTCTCTGATCAGGAATTTGCACCAGGCGGCCCCTAATCCAGATCCATCTCAGCGATTCGCAGAGGGTCCGGTATACAACTTGACTGAAGCATATTCCCTACGTTGTACATGATGATTTGTCTCTCTGGCTTAGTGTATGATGCGAATCCTTGATGGGGGGTTAGACCAAATATGGCGAGGACGCTTGTGCAATGAGGGGAGAGGGAAGCGTGCGAACGTCAACTACTACGACGACGACGACGACTACTACAATTCTACTACGACTACGACGACGACGACTACTACTACGACTACGACTGCTACTAC